TTGGAAACAGCCTCTCTACCTCTCAGAGGAAGGGTATGGTCTGCATACGCATTACCCTCTCCAGACCCTACTTGTGGGATTCCGCTGGGTTGTTGTTGTTGTTGGTGGTGGTGAAATATTAAGAATAAGTAATTCTGTCAATGTGGAAGAGACCATATAATTATATTACCAATTCATTAGACCCCTAAAAAGTGCAAACTCAACAGTTCAAATTTCAAAATTGACTTAAAATAGTTAGTGGCCATAGGAATCACTTGTGTTCGAACTTTTTGCTGTACCAGACAAGCTTAGCCATTTGTTTGTTTGATGTTTGTTAAAAAAAATTTCGTTTTACTCTCTACCTATGTCATAAACACTTGCAGACGAGTTTTGGTCTTGTTTGGTTTTACCTTCCTCCAATAAGCTATTCATTGACTTTCATATGGCTTATTCATCGTTTAAGAGATTTTCATCATTGATCATTATCACAACGTTTTTGCAGATTGCAGATGTATGGTCTTGCGGCGTGACTTTGTATGTCATGCTTGTGGGAGCCTACCCTTTTGAAGACCCAGAGGAGCCTAAGAATTTTCGCAAGACAATACAAGTAAATTCCTTTGCTCTATTGTTGCTGCAAAATCTTCATCGTTTCTGTTACTTGACTCCGAGCTCTTTTCGTTTTTGCAGCGAATCTTGAATGTACAGTATTCAATTCCAGATTATGTCCACATATCTACTGAATGTCGTCATCTGATCTCAAGAATATTTGTGGCTGATCCTGCAAAGGTATATTAACGTTGTCGAAATAATAGTTTTCCTGTATTCAAATTTTCATCCTTCACTGTCACTCTCAAAAGTATACTTTATGATTTTCCAGTTAACTACTCTTTGGGTGTAGCAACAGTTCAATGCGTTTATGCTTGAACTTTTATCCTATCCTGGTCAGGGGAATCTTTTACCCGAAGGTGCCCATGTCTTTTCCAATGGATCTTCCTTTTCTTTTGCTAAATCGTTTTTCCTTTCTTCCGCACCCCTTTATCATGATTCTTCACGGGGCTTCTTTCTTCTGTTTGTTGAGCATTGCCTGGTGCAGGAAGTAGTAATCGATGAATTGTGTTATTTAGCTTTGTTTGTGATTGAACAGTTTGAGCTATATTCAGAGTTTAGTTTGGTCATGCTATATATGTTTGCATTGCAACAGAGGATAACGATGCCTGAGATCAAGAACCATGAGTGGTTCTTGAAGAACCTGCCTGCAGATCTCATGGACAACAATACAAACAATCAGTTTGAAGAGCCAGATCAACCTATGCAGAGTATTGATGAAATCATGCAGATAATAGCCGAGGCCACGATTCCCGCGGCTGGAACCAACAACCTGAATCAGTATCTTACGGGATGCTTGGACATTGATGATGACATGGACGAAGACTTGGAGAGCGATGCTGACCTTGACATTGATAGTAGTGGAGAGATTGTCTATGCAATGTAAAAGATACGCAAGGCCATGTTGATGAAATGAGGAGGACCCGTGTAGTCCCGTAGTTCTTAATTGTCTCGTCGTACTCTTTGGTATCCCCTATATGTATATGAAATGCAGTTCACACATGTTGAAGATCCAATCTCCCCCTCCTCTCTTTCCTTTCTTCGGTTATCTGTATTGACGTTATTTTCCTGCTGAAACTCTGTAGTTGTATAAATTACTCTGTAACATTATACAACTTGCGTCGTTTACCCTGTAGCCTGTACTTGTATATTTGACCATTACTAAAGGAACTGTAGTCTAGCAGTAATAATCACTTCTTGCATGCATTTAGCAATGTCCTTGCAAATGTTTTGCCGGATATGTTGTGACCACCAGTGGGATTTCACTGGGTCGTTTTTGTTGTTGTTGTTGTATCTGAAGCTCTCTCTATGTAACGCACAGATTCGAGCAGTTTTTCCATCTAGCCTTAATTAGTTTGATACAAATTGCATTCCAAGTTTTCATCTTGGCGAAATGGTTGAGGTATGAATTGCAAGATGCTATTATTTTAGAGGTGAATTGTGTAAGAATGGTTGGAACCTGTCTGACATACAAGACTACTCGAAAGGATCCTACAGTGATAAATAGAATCCCCATAAAAATACCACTAGATCGAGCACCAATGATATTGTATCCGGTAAAACTCCGTACATGCGCTCACCATAAACTGCCTTTTTGTTTTCTTCAACTTCGTGGTAATGAAACGTACCTGCTCCGCTCTAGGGTTTTGCTAACTAGTGTGAAGTTGAGTCCTATCTTTCCCTAGTTCATGCAAGGCTAACCTTCGGGTTTTTGCTTTCTGGAAAACCCCCCTACTTGATCATTCGCAATTACTATCACAAGAAAGTCGCCCCTATATTCTCTAAAGGGGCTTATGCACTCCACGACTTTCTTATGTTATGGGGTCTCGAAGTAATGTTGAGTACAAAGAGTAACCTATAAGAAAAATGGCAGGAATACCCGGAACCTAGCCTTATCGGTACTTACCTCAGGGACTTTCACTTCCTATCGGCTAATTCCTACATGTTCCCGTAAAAGGCCGGCCGCGCTACCTAAACCAATCATCATATCGGTCCCTAGGCCCCACTTCTGGAAAGGCTCGGCTTTAAAATCGTTCCACGGTAGCTAGGAAAGATTTCTAAATATATTTTCTTCCTTCCATTTAGGGGCACTATAAAGGCTTTGCAACCTTCAGAGCTGGTTGACAATTGGAAAATTATATAACCCAAGTTTCGGGCATAAAAAAATTCTTCGCTAAAATAGACGTTCAATTTTCGCTTAAAAACCCGGATTTTTAACTTATCTATTCTATACAATATTAAAAGCACGAACACTGTTAGCGAAATGTCGTTCGCCTTTTATATCCTTAAAATTTTATTTTCACATTAGACAAAATAGTCATTTATGCTTTTTCCTAATATTTAGTAGTTTTAACCAACTATATTTTGTTTATTTTTTTCCTTTTTTGAAATATTCTTTTTTCAAATAACTATTATATTATTAAAAAGAGAGAAAAAACCCTCTCCTTAAGTCAAGTGCCAACCTGGAAAAAAGCCACATGGCATAAGTAGTTAATAATTAGTTATTTAGTTAATAATTAGTTATGGATTTTTGTTTTTGAATTTAAATATCAATAAAATAATATAATAACAAATAAAAAAAATATTACAAAAAATAACAAACTTCCAGTTTAAAGTTTCTTTGTTTTTTTTTTAATTTTTGTTTTCTTTTTAAAAATGAGAAGTTTATTTATTCAGAAAATATTATTGAGAATAATAGAATAAAATAAAAAATAAAAAAATATGTATCTACGATTATATTATAAAAAGAAATTAGCATACAAAAATTTAAATAAAGTAATATGCTACTAAAAGTTTCTATTAACAGCAATAATACTAAATGTTGGATAATATAAATAAAAAAATACTGTAGACAAAAATATTTGATGCCTATATAAGTCTAATTAATTTAATAGAGATTTTATTCATTAAATTTCAGATAATATTTTTGAGATCAATAGGATAAAATTTAAAATAAAAAATATTTCAAGAGTAATAAAATATATATATATTTTATTATATTATAAAAAAAATTAGTAGAAAAAATATTAAACAAAGTAATATGCTAATAAAGTTTCTATTAACAATGCAATAATACTAGATATTTGATAATATAATAAAGAAAAATCCAGAACAAAAAAGTTATTCAATGACTATACAACTCTCTTTAATTTAATAGAGATTTTATTCATTAAAATTTAGATAATATTATTGAGAACAATAGGACAAAATTCAAAATAAAAAAATATTTCAAGAGTAATAAAATATCTATCTTCTATTATATTACAAAAAGAAAGTGGTAAACAAAAATATTAAGCAAAGTAAGATGCTAATAAAATTTTTTAATAACAATGCAATTATATTAAATATTGTATTTTTAATAACAATGCAATTATATTAAATATAGAGATTTTATTCATTAAATTTAGATAATATTATTGACAACAACAGAATAAAGTTAAAAATTATAAATATTTCAAGATTAATAAAATATATGTATTTTCTCTTATATTGCAAAAGAAAGCGAGCAGACCAAAATATTAAATAAAGTAATATGCTAATAAATTCTTTAATTAACAATGTAAAAATATAAACATTGGATAATAGAATAAAAAAAATATAGAGCAAAAAAGTTGTTCAATGACTATATAAGTGCCTTTAATTTAATAGTGATTTATTATTAGGTATGTCACATTGACAAATAAGATGACAATTGAAATTTATTAAAGCAATACGATCTAATTTTTTCAAACAAGCTCGATCACAATTTAAATTAATTAATATTTTTTAATATTGTACAACTACTAGTTAAGATTCTAAATATTAAAACTTTAAAATCAACTGAAACTTTGATTATTAGATCTTTCCTGTTAAAGCTAGGTACTAGGGGAGAAGTCTTAATATGTAAGTCCTAATGCATAAAACCAAGAAATGTCCTACATTAACAAAATATGACGTAATTGTTAGAGTTTCTTTTGTGTAATTGAGTAACATACAAACGACAACTAAAACTATCCTAATTTGTGCCAGAGGCGTATCCAAGATTTTAAGAACATGGGTGTACCATTATCTTTAAGATAAAAGCTTGGTTGAATAATATAAAATTTATGGTGATAAAAAGTTGACGAGGAAACTATATTAATATTATATTCACATCAAACATCATTCACTTTACAATTGTCCCCGACGAGTTTTCATACTTTCAAAACGGTCGATAATAGCATCATTACTTACAGTTTTGAATATCTTACGCTCTATATAGCAAACTAAACAATCATTTAAAAAATTATCATCCATCCTATTACGTAAATCATTTTTGATGTACTTCATTGATGAGAATGCTCTTTCCACGCTTGTGGTAACAACAGGTATAAGCAAAATCAACGTCACAAGTAAATAAATAAGTGGCCAAGTAAGATCCAATTTTGTCTCTATCATCACTCTAGCAAAATCCTTAATTCCTTCAGGTTAAGAAATCTGCTATCACACTTTTGAGCATAGACAATGAAACTATCAAGTTGGAAACCAAGTTCTCGAAGCTTGTTATCACCAAACTCACTTAGATAACACTCTGCCAACTTCATTATCTTGTCCTTATCAAAATTAGCAAATGAATCAACCTGATTCAAACTGGCCATACCAAGTAGTAAGTCAGTAGTCACAACATTAAAACGATCATTAAGCTCTTGAAATTCCAAATCAATAACCGTAGTAAACACTTCCACCCGAAAGTGATGTAAATATGAAACTTCGTACCTCTTACGCTTTGACTTTCCTAGAGTATAGTCTTCATCCATTTTGGGAATTAGAATATCATGTTTACTACAAAATGAGGACACCTCATCCAACAAAGAATTCCATTCAGTTTTTCTCATCATTTGCAATCTTTCCTTTGCAAGGTCAAGCATTCCGATAGCATTAACAATATCTTTATCTTTCTTTTGTAAAGTGTTGTTCCATTCATTTGTTAATAACAACACCCTAAACATCAAGTGCAACTTAAACATAAATCCAAATTCTTGAATCTGGCTCAAAAGATTTTCCGCTGCAAATCTATCAAGATGATATGGACAGTCACGCTTCATATCTTTAAGCACATTAACGATTGAAGGAAATAAAATCATCAAATTGTCCAAGGTTTTAAAATGAGACCCCCAATGAGTACCACCCGGTCGTTCGAGGCTGCGTTCTTGATTCAAACCTTGCCTCGTATAGACTTCTCCAAATTTAAGCAACTCTTCTAACTTGACTGCTTGATGTTGTCGAGTGACTCCATGCACTTAAATTAAGATCCAATAGTATTCAAAACATTAGTCACAACATAAGAGAAATTATCTACATCCGAATGCTTTTTAGAAAGGGCTACAAGTGCTAGTTGCAATTGATGAGCAAAACAGTGAATATAATATGCAGAGGGAGTATCTTGCAAATTTAAATACTTGAGACCATTTGTTTTTCCTTGCATATTACTAGATCCATCATAACCTTGTCCACGTATCTTGGATTTACTTAAAGAATGATCCAAAAGCAAAGAATAAATTGCTTTTTATAATGATGAGGAGGAAGTATCACTCACGTGGACAATACACAAGAATCGTTCTATCACCATTCCACTTTTGTTGACATATCGCAAAATTAAGGCCATTTGCTCCTTATGTGAGACATCCTTTTATTCATCTACCAATATTTCAAAATAATCACCTTCCAAAATGATAGCTTTAGTTGCTTCTTTAGCACAAGCCTCCACAATCTCTTTTTGAATTGTTGGACAAATCATCATATCATTTTGTGGAGCATGACGTAATATTACTCTTCCCACATCCGGATTTCGATCTCCATGCCATTCCAAAAGTTCAAGAAAGCCACCTTTATATTCTGATTCTTCACTTTCATAATGTCCACAAAATGGAAATCCCGATCTTAAAAGAAATCTTGCCACATCAATTGAGGCATTTAAGCGCATCCGATAATCACTTTTTACTTTTTCACTTTACTTATCAAAAGAAGATTGAATCGATTGACGTTGATTTTTAAAATCTAGCATCCTATTGAAGCATTTGTGATGGATACTATTTACTTCACCAACATGTGCTTTGAATCTTTCCACACCCTTGTTCCATCCCCTAAAACCATCTTTTGTAAATGCATCCCCTGCATTTCCACAACTCTCAAGTTCATTGTTGAACAAATAACAACACAAACAAAATGCTGCATCTCCTTTTATGCTATACTCCAACCATTGAGAATATGGTCCCCTAAACCAAGTGGGACTAAATTGACGCATTTTACTCCCAATCTTAGTTTTAGGAAAGACATGACCAATCGGTTGACAAGTCCCTTTGTTTATATAATATCTCCTCACTTCATCTCGAATATTAGGACCATAATCCGAGATTGGCATTCTTTCTTTCGGATCCGGTTCAAACGATTTCAAGTCAAACACTTTATTCATATTTGAAAGTAGAGAAATATTTGTCTCCCTCTGAACTTCCGGAGCAATTTGTGAACTCATGGATGTCCAACTAGCTCTAGAACTTGGTGCACCATTTTTTGGCTTAGTGAGAAATCTATCCATTTTAATCTGATGGATCGTTCCTACAAAATTAAATATTCACACTTCTATTTAATCTATCTTAATTCAAATAAATCGTTAAACTCAAACCAATCACATTAAAGCGTATCAGTCAGCAGATGAAGAAGTTATGGCACAAAAATTATGCATCTGTACATGTATGTTTGAACTTATATACTTTAATTGTGTTCGTTGGTGCAAGTTTTTCAATAACTAATAACTATATTGTTTGATATGTACAACTAAAAAATAAAACTGAAACATGGACAGAGGTCCCAAGTAACAGAAGCCAAAAGCCTATCGATGCCTCACTTTCTCAATAACTTGTTGTTCTAACGATAAAAATTCAAATCATTCAATCTCCTAGCTATATACCACTTCTTGCACTATCAATCTTGTGAGCACTTCACAGACTTCATCGCTTAGCTTGAAAAACTCTCATACTTCGTTCAAATTAAGATGACACATTTATACTTGTTTAATCTGGAGATATTTTAAACTTAAATTATTGTGTCACTAAATTCCTTTGCATAAATTCTTTTTCCCATGGATTTTAGTCTTTGACTCGGCCAAACATTTTCTCAAACACAATATATGCACAAATTCAATAAACTATCAAAATTCAAGACTTCAAAGCCCTAGCTATCCCAAATTCCCAATAGAAATAGCATTCAATGACTTCTCATTTCAGAAATAAACAATCATAACCACTATCAACAAGACAAAATCACGGCTAGAGATTCAAACATTGAGCAAAACATAAAAAGAGAGAGCGAGGAATAGCAGCGAGTGAATTGAAATACATAGCAAGGAGAGAGAGAGAGAGAGTAGGTACATACTTGAGAATTTTAAAGGAATGTGAAGGAGAAATTGCTGCTTTCTTGAAGAATTCACATTCCACAGTCACATAGAATAGAGAGAGGGAGAGAGAGAGAGAGAGTTGAGAGGGAGTCACCATATTTTGTTTCTAGGGATTTGATCGATTAATACCCAAATTCCCCTTAAAAAACGTGGGATCTGTTTTTAGACAAAAGGGACTTTTAAATATTAAAAAAATTAAAAAAAACATAAAGTGCCAACTTAGGGGCACGAACTTGCCAGTGTACGAAGGTAGTCATTTGAGCATGGGTGGCCAGAAACATATTTATATAGATAATTTTAAAATTAGTACTGTTTATACCTAGCCTAGGGAGGGGAGCATGGGTGTATGTCCCCACCTCCCTCCACATAAATCCACCCCTAATTTGTGCTATCATTAGTTTTAGGCTTTAAAATTCTTTTCAGATAAGATATATTAGGATTGTTTAAAGCCATCATGTAATATAACTATAATTCATTTAATATAATTCAAAGAGCAGATAAGATTTTGAATTTTTTTTCTTTAATGTAATTTTCTTTTCATTTTGATGTAATAAATATGACTGCAAACCAGAGCCTCGGCAGAACCTCACTCGACTTTCGAACTCATCTTTTCATCCTTTAACTTACTTGAACTACGCGCGACTTGATTCCCTTATAATTCGGGATATGTGGGTTGTCTAAAACCAGGACTTGGTTGGACTCTTCAATCTTTTCTTTTATTTATTGTTCTTTTGAATAAAGGTATGGTCAAAAATCAGTCACATGGCTCACATTTTCTTTGCCTAAACACTTTTCATGTTTCCAAGAAAATAGGGGCATGCTGTGAGCAGCTAATTTTTTATTATATTTTAATTGGTCATGTTGGCCCAAGATCAGTTGAAGTGTTGAAGAATGACAAATGAACTCAGTGAAGGACTAGGTCCATCTTAGGAGACACAGTTATTATGGCCCATGCACATGAGATGCACGTGAAGAAGATAAGTCCTTTGGGATCAAGCAGCAATATCTTCTGACCTGATCGAAAAGATTGCATATGGGATAAGGAGAAGATGTCTCCATATAAGAAGAGAACACATCCGGATAAGGGTTGGAGTTTGGATTGGTCTAGGACTCAAATTCAATGGAGGATCAGAAATTGAGTTACAATCCAACTCTAATTACTAATCTAATAAATAACTGAGTTGTTCTCTTTTACAGGTATGCACATACGTTGAAGTTAAGCAAAATTGAGAGCAAAAGAGGAAGGCTATTTTGCAAGCAATTTATGTGAGATTGAGTGTGCACGCCTGCAGCTACTTGAACAAGATAGAAGAACCAGTTCCATTGTGTTTATTCTTATTCTAGTTCAATTGTAGTAGGTGATTTAAAACTTGTACCTTTCCAGCTTTCATAGAAGCAATTATATTAGGTACTTTGACTATTCAAGTTAGAGTTAACTTAAAAGTGTCGCAACACTTGAGGCTGTGTGCCACACTGGGATTAGAGTTAATCCTTAGGTTTACAAGAGTTTTGTAAATGCTGTTTTTGGCTCATTGAGTTTAGTGGATGTTTGGGAAAATCCTACTGAGTAGTAGATCGTGGTTTTTTCACATTTTGAGCCAGGTGTTTTCCACGTAAAAATCCTTCTGTTATTTTATTTTCTGTATTTTAATTCCGCAAACAGTAGTAGTTAGAACACCTAGAAGAACCAGGTTCTTCTAGATCGAAAATTGGGTACCACACAAATCACCCCCCTCTTGTGTGGTATTGACGTTTGGAACATCAATTGGTATCAGAGCAGGTTATCCTTGAAGAAGCTAACACCTTAGGAAAAGATCAACATGAGTGCACCGCCTGGGAAATGGGAAGGGCAATCCACTGCCAGGCCTCCACTATTCAATGGACAGTATTACTCATGGTGGAAGAATAGGATGAAGGATCACATCATAGGAGAAGACTATGAACTCTAGGACATAGTCACCGATGGTCCTTTGGCAACTACAATGAAAAATGAAGAAGGAGTGGAAGTGCCAAAGACAAGGGCTCATTGTACTGCTGAAGATTTGAAAAAATGGGAGAAAAATGCTAAGGCCAAGAAATGGCTTGTGTATGGACTGGGTCCAGATGAATACAACAGGATCCAAAGCTGTACTACTGCAAAAGAGATATGGGACACTTTGCAAGTGGCTCATGAAGGAACACGTCAAGTGAAGAGATCTAGAGGAACATTGCTATATTCTCAATATGAGAATTTCACTATGAAAGATGGAGAAACCATTCAAGAGATGTACACAAGGTTCACTACACTGACAAATGAACTCAAGTCTCTTGGAAGAGTTATTCTTGAAGAAGACAAGGCTGAGAAGATCTTGACAAGAGTTCTTCCAGTTGCTTGGGAAAGCAAAATCACTGCCATTCAGGAGTCCAAGAATATGGCCACTCTCAGGCTGGATGAACTGATTGGGAATCTTACTGCTTCTGAACTGAGAAGGCAAACTAGGAAGATGGATACACCCAAGAAGGAGAGAAGTTTGGCTCTCAAAATTAAAGAAGGTTCAGACCTAGAAGATGATGAGATGGCTATGATCACTAAAGATTTCAAAAAGTACCTAATGAGAGGAAAGGGTTCATCAAGAGGTACAAACTTCAACAAGGCAAGAGCTCCTGAGAAACAGACAAATGATGGCTGCTATAAGTGTGGTAAGACTGACCATATGATCAAGAATTGCCCTCAATGGGAGATTGAGTGGAAGAAAGCAAGGGCAGAGCGAAGAAACAGGAAGAAGGAACAGGTTCAACCCAAGAAAAACAAAGGTTCAACCAAGGCTATGGTTGCTGCTTGGGGTGAAACCTCTGATGAAGACTCAGAAGATGAAGCTGAAGAAGAGCAAGCTCTTATGGCCATTGGAGAATCAGATGATGAGCAGGAGGTAAGTATTCTGCATCCCAAGGATAAAATTTAATTTCCGTGTAAAGAACGGTTGGCTGAGCTATTATTAGACTTCATTGATGAGTCTGAAATAGTTAACAATGGAAAGGAAGTTCTATCTAGGGAATGTGTTATCCTAAAAGCAAAATGCAAAAGTCTAGAATCTAGGACTGATAAGAGTGATAACAAAAATGCTGAGTTGAAGAACCAGGTTCTTGAACTTGACAATAGTATTCTAGAACTTAGGTCAGAAAATCTAAAACTGAAACTAGGAACAGGAAAGAAGAAAGCTGACCACTAATTTCTCACTCTAGAAGAAAATCTAGGAAAAATTAAAGATGAACTGTATAAGAAAGATGAATTGATTAAGGTTCTAAAAGAAGATCTAGGAAAGGTAAAACATGAACTAGACAGAACTTGCAAATGGAACAAAGCTTCCGATGCTCTCTCATGGTTGCAAGAGCATCACAGTAGCAATAAAAGAGGACTTGGCTATAGGACTCAAGCTCCAAAATGGGACCCCAAAAACAAGTACCTCACTCTTCCTGAAAATAAGATCTGCACACACTGTGGTAAGACTGGCCATTATAAAAATGAATGTAATGCAAAGGAAAAGGCCAGTCAAAGGAACAAAGCTTTTGTTCAAGAAAAACACAAACTTCCTAGCTGGGCAAGAAAGAATCCGATTCATCCTTTTGCTCAAAGAAAGGGACCCAAACTAGTTTGGGTTCCTAAGACTAACCTCTGATTTCTTTTTGCAGGCTCAACTGAAAGAGAGTAGCCAAATATGGTACATGGATAGTGGCTGCTCAAAACACATGACTGGGAACAAGGACCAGTTCCTTTCACTTGAGAACCTGAAAGGAGGTAATGTCTCCTTTGGAAATGGAAAGAAAGGTGAGATCATTGGGGTTGGAAAGGTAGGTAAGACAGACTCTCATTCCATTGAGAATGTCTACTTGATAGATGGCTTGAAATATAGCCTAATTAGTGTGTCACAACTGTGTGACAGAGGTAATCTTGTAGCTTTCACCGCTACCAAATGTTTTGTGATTAACCTTACCACTAACAAGATTGTTTTGCAGGGAAGAGTTAACAATATTTACATTGTAGATTTGTCAACTCTTTCAGAAAATGAACTCACTTGTCTAAGTGTGCTAGTCAATGATCCCCTCCTGTGGCACAAAAGACTTGGCCATGCCAGTCTAAATCAGCTAAACAAATTAGTCTCCAA